TCCTAAGATTTCATGTTAAGCAATATTTTCCATTCAGCCAGCTGTGTCAATAGCCACGCCAACCCAGCATGTTTTAACACACACAGACACACACACACACACACACACATTCAGTACACACACTCAATAAGGTGGAGGGGTAAATATCAGAGAGCATTTGACACCCTGTACCTTGTCCTCTTAGTATGCGTGTGTGATTACATTTTTCGCCTCTATCGCAAACATTGACCTTTTCAAATGAGTACAATATGTGATCTGTGTGGCAACACAAGACTTCAGGTCAAAAGCTCTATGTGTCATTGTGTGTGCAGTGAGACAGGCAGCAGAAAGATTTTTTTGAAAGCCTGATTGACATTTCGCTGTTTCAATAAAAAAAAAAGTGCTTGAAGGAATGATGAAGGACACACAGAGAAAAATAAAGGCATAATTAGTCAAAGTGACCTACATAGTTATTTAGTTGTGTGTGTGTGTGTGTGTGCGCACACTGGTTTGGGTGGTTTGAGGACACAAATTTGTATAATGACTTGGGTATGACACGTTCAAAAAAACACAATTTAGTATGTTTTTTAAGCCTTTTGAATTACGGGGACACAGGTAGTGTCCTCATAAACGACTTCATATTGTAATACCTGTGTCATACCCAAGTCATTATACAAATTTGTGTCCTCATAAACCACCCAAACCAGCGTGTGTGTGTGTGTGTGTGTGTGTGTTTGACAGTTTTGCATTTTTTTTTTTTTTTATATAATTTTCAAATTTGCTATAACATTCAGTCTCGTTTTAATTAGTTTCATCAGTAATCTTATTAGTTTTAGTTTAGTTTTTATTTTGTGAAAACATTTCTGTTTAGTTTTTATATAGTTTAGTTTCAGTATTAGTTTTGGTTTTAGTAATGTTAAGTTTAGCAGGATTAAAAGATCACTTCCTGAGCGCAGACCAAAGAACGACTTAATTTAACCTTAGTGAAAAAAACTATTTGTTGAGTCAACTTAAAAAACTTTGTTACCCCCTGACTTAAAATTTGTTGTTATCTCAATTTTTCCGGTGTGATGCAGTTGTTTCAACATGTGTTTTTGAGTTGAATCAACAGTTATACTAGTTCATTTAAGTTTTAGCTTAGTTGAGGGCCAATAAACTTACATTTTATTGTTGTCTGGACAATTTATAAGAAAAATTAGTTATGTCTACAAAAAAAAAAAAAAAAGTTGAAATGGCAAAATCTCAAAATTCTTTTTTTGCAGTGATGCTGAGATTGATTAGATGGTAAAAGTATACAAATATACACCAAAATGAAGCAGTCAAGCCTTTTTACTCCATAAATCTACACAAGTTGCTCTTAAAGGCAGAGTTCGTTCTTGTAAAATAATAATAATTTAATAATAAAAGTATACAAGCCCACCACTCCGCTGAGAACCGGATGCATGAGGGATCGTCCCGGATGAGATCCTCAGGTGAAAGGTCATCATGCAGATCATTTTATTTATGGCTAAATTATTATTCATTAATTTTACTAATAGTTAGATTGGGCAAGCCTTCAGAAAAGGGTGTTTAATTACAAAAAAAATTAAATAAAAATTGCCTTGACAATTAAAGGGCATCAAGGGGAAAAGAGGCAGGTGCTTAGTTGTGTTAAAATGGAACAACTTAAAGTATCTTTAGTGTAATCTAATTGTACTTCTTTACATTATTGAAAATACACTTTTAAACTTCTTGAAGTACAGTTAGATTATATTTTAGGCTTCTCTTTAATGTGCTTCTAGAACATTTTCAATAGCATGTAATTTAATGTACTATATCCTGTGAACATTACAACACTAAATTTGTTGAGAACATTTAAAATGAACAACAGCATATACAAACTCTTGAGCAAAATAATTATTATAAATTGTAATAAATTCAAATAAAGATCCGTGAAATGCTATGACAGAACTACTTTAATCAATTTGTGGAACATTTTTGTATTACTGGAAAGTATGAATATTCCATCATTGAATAAAAATGCATAATGCAATTTTCTGCACACACATAAAGAAATTACTGAAAAACAATAAAGCGTAGAGGTGAATAAACTGCTTCTTTTTTTTTTTTTTAACAAAATTAGCCGTTAGCGTTAGTTC